ATTTTCATGAACAAATTAATCTATTGCAATATATGCTATTGTATCTGATACTAAGACAATTATTCTAATTTATAGTCAAAATTTTTAGATATATCCCAATTATTCTCTGAATCTGGTAGCTTCTCAACATTTTCTTCTATGAATGAAAATAAAATATCTTCGATATATTCTGATAAAGTGCTACTTGAATCATATAGGGATCTCTCAGACTATGTGTATCCATCTAACAATATTCTGGCGAATTCTGTATCTTGTATTATATCTGAATAGTTTCTTGTCTTTTGTTTTAAGTATTCATATAATTTTTCAACAAATTTAGAAATACTATTAACACAGCTCTATTTTCAAATAGCAAATAATAACTCGAATTATTAATATAATATAATAATCAATATAATAATTTTTAGTAATAACAAATCAACAATAATAATTATATATAATTTATTTAGAACTCTTAAATATTGGTAAATATTTTCGACATCTTTCTTTTTATAAAGAATATTAAATTTATATAAAGGTCTTGCTCTATACACTTAATTACCAGGGTGGTCAACTGTCCAAATATACTATTTCACTCCTGTTCGAAATATAAACTAAGATTATTAATTGTAATTTAAAAAGATAATAATAAAACTTCAATTGCACTAACTATGTATACTTTTCTAACAAAAGTTACTGGCCTGTAAATCATTTTTATAATAAAATATAGTAAATATTAAAATTTTTATACTATAAAAAAGGCTATATTTTTTATTATCAAATAAAATTTTAATTTATATTATTACAAACCTCATTGATTATAGTTTTAGTAAAATGCTTTCTTAAATTGTTTAAATTTTTTTAAAAATATATGTCTAATTAAGAAGTAAACTTTTTTAAATGTTTATAAGTTCTAATTATAAAAATTCAAAAAAGTTTATTTCTCAATTAGACTAATATTTCTAAAAAAATTTAAAAATTTAAGAAAGCTTTTATAAAAACTATAATTGGTGAGGTTTGTAATAATATAAATTAAAATTTTATTTGATAATAAAAAATATAGCCTTTCTTATAGTATAAAAATTTTAATATTTACTATGTTTTATTATAAAAATGATCTATGAACCAGTGACTTTTGTCAGAAGAGTGTATATAAGCATAATAAATTTCTAATTGATTATAATTATTATAAATAATACTTTTATCTATTTATTTGCTATACTTTTTGATCAAATTATTAACAAATTTTTCATAAGAATCTTTACAAGCTCTAATACCTCTTCTGAAATTCTACAAATTTTCTTATAATTTCTATGATATGGGAGCCTACAACTTTTTTTTTTTTTGTTGTTTAAGGTGAAGTTTTGCCTTTATCTTTATTTAATAATTTGTATTGAGAATCTACTAGGAGTTTCTCTGGTCTATAAGACCAATAATT